GAAATAAAGGGGTTGAACGCGATTAACGAAGAAGTCGAACGGCAGTTCAGTCGAGATTTGGGGAGAACCAGTTTGAAAGGACCATTTCTGGTAGTGGATGCTCTGATGGTGTAAAAGGTACTAGGGTGAAGGCAGTGAAATCCCGTGAGAACCTTGTGGAAGGTTAGGAGGTTAACTTTTTCCTACGGCAGCAAAGCGAACGGAGGCGAAATTGGCATTTCGTGCTGCAGCAGAGGGAATGCTGTCGTACATAAATCCAACCACCCTGATCATCAGTGTTCTCGTGAAACTGTCCTGAACTTTTTCAATTTTGTCGATAATTTTCTGTGGGGGCTAAACACAACAGTGCCGTACTCCACCAGAGGCCTTACATAGGCCTTAAAGGCTTGGAGCACATTGGGTAGCATGTTACTAGCAAAAGGCTCGAACTTGAAATGAATACAATGAAAATCATCAAAAACTTTAGTGTAGCAGCTGAGCGACGGTGGACTAGTCATATTAGACTAATTTAAAGTGACTAGTTCAAAAGTCCGGGGAGAAATGTGACTCTCTTTGACAATCGTGCATTTCCATCCTTTCAACCAGGCCGGACTGTCTGGTTATCTTTTCTGCCGACCAGAGAGACACTCACACGGGCTCATCATGGGGTTGATAGGAATGGAGAAAATCAAATCTCATTCAAATTGTATCGTAACGTAATGAATTTGTAGGTTCAGCCGATAGATTCAAGAGTATTGCTTTAGAAGGCGACTGACGAGGACTGATTGAGTGTTGAAGAAAGCATCCTGTTTCAGTGGCCTTGATCGCGAGACGAGAAGACAATCCCTTGACGATGAAGTCACCTCAAGAGAACGGTGACGAAACGCATTCAGTCGAACGGATCCAACCGCAGATGGAAGAACCGACCCCAATGCCTGCAGCTGAACCAGTATCTACTGAAGCGCAGAGGAACCCTCTTCCGCGAGATCGTCCGCCGGTTGCTAATGCTCAGCCACCGAAAATGGTCAATGGCGCATCACTGAAGAGAATGGAGAAAAATGTTTGTATCAGAATTTCGCAACTTAACTTTTTCCTTTTGTCTCATTGCCAGTTTCAGATGTTTCCTCCTCCAGCTGTTGTAACTCAACGACGTCATTCAGCCATGGTTGGACCGTACAACGAGAAACTCCAGAACGGAAACTGTAAGTCCGCTCTTGTTGATTTTGCTCGAGTTCGAACTTTCGCTGAAGTTTGAGGAAGAAGCAGTCATGAGTAGTAGTGGGCTTTTGAAGCGGTTTTCTTTTGGGGATCAGCTTTTTCGTTTCAGCCCTCCGCTATCGGTCTCTAAGCCCGAAATCAGTTGGAGCTGCTAGGATTAGACACTCGGTCTGCGAGTCGGCTTTTGGAGGTAGGTGCACTTGTTCAAAGTTTTCATTATAATGCATTTGAAGGCACAGTTCACGATAATTCGATGTACCCGTTTTTATTTGGCAAGCGGAAGTATAGATTGGGAATAGTTCATCGGTAATGAAGAAAGCGAGAGATTTCGCCGATTTCGAGGAAGGTATGGCTCCTCAAAAGTAGGAAAAATAGAGGTTGGACGAGATTGCCATGACGGAAATAACATGGAGGGGGTATTCGGACGAGATTTCAGTCATTCCAATTGCACAATGAGCGGACTACATCAAGCAGAACTGTACAGAACTTTCTTTCACTGTATCTATGGGTCATGACAAACTGTTTATCCCCTGCGTCGGCTTCCTTGCGAGTGCTGCAGCCTCTACAATGCCGGGCAAGTCGTCCGAAGATACATACGAGCCAATCTTTGAGCCTTTATAACTGCCGACTGGACCGTTATCCGACCTAATAATGTTAGACATGGTATACCCGAAGGCCTCAAATTCATCCTATGGGGGAATCTTAGAAACCAATTTTGTCATGAACTGTGCCTTTAACTAACCACACCTTCCGAAACTCTGAGAGAACGAAATAGCCCTGTATTTATCTGCCAGTGTATTTATCCCGGTAATTATGTGGACACGGCAATTTCTACACAGAGACCTAAAGAGGGAGACCGGCATAAGCAGAGCAGGGCATCTGATCTCCAGTATGTGGTGATGCTTATGCTTACTTATGATTATGAAGCCTCGGTCTGTTGCTTCTGATCTTAACAACAATTATTCCTTTAGGGCCCAGTTGTTAGTTGTTTACGCTTTGTTTGACGCAACACTCCTTTAAGGCACGATTAGTCAGACCAAGCCTCGAATCTTACCTGCTAATATTATCGACTGATGTCAGCATCATTATTAAAGTCAGTGTCCTTGAACATTTATATCTATAATGCATGATTATAAACCAATGTTTGAAAACCCAAATGGGTCATCATATTAGTTTTTGACCAACTCTAATGCGTGGAGGGTCGTACACTAATAGCAAAGGTTCCCTTATTATTTCTGAATTTAATCGGTTTTCATTACTAGACTAATCACTTACTATTTGTACCATTTATATAATCACCCATTGGGGAATTGGTGCCTATTATCCCATTTTTTTAAACATCGTCAAGAGGACATTGATCACAAGTACGAAGGAAGTTGTGATCACAGCGCTCATGCTTCGGTAGCTTTACTATCAGCCTTCAATTACTAATATACTGCGATACCCTTCGACAAAATGAAGTAGAGAGGCTCCACTGCCAAGGCAAAATTAGAAAATGATGTCACAGCTACGATATTAGAACCTTCTAAGGCCTCATATCCGCCCCCATCAGCTGTTATCACTTGCTATCACCTGTTAACCACTATCACTATATTCACCCTAAACCTGCACCACTTCTATACATCAACGCTTCAGGTCTAAGAGTACAGATATATGAGATTTTGGTCGAACACAGATCCATCAGTAGTCACACTTACTGGCTTACCTTTAGCAAAATTTTCTGATCATATGGTCTGAAATCAACTATAAGTGTCGGAAGCACGTGAGCAAGCTTCCGTAATTCTCCTCCGCGCAGTTTCACCTCTCATAATTAGCAAACGAATTGGAGCTTTTCTCCTGCCATTTTAACCTTCCTGCTTCCGCCGTTTTCAGTTTGCCCTCCTCCTACCCAAATTTATCAGCTTTCAGCCTCTTTAACATTTTCTCCTTCAGCATTTTCTTCCTTGATCATTAGGCCACTCTCTACGTCCCTCCTATATCTGTGCTCTTTACCCGATTCCTTTTCTGTTTCGGCGCACCCTTTCGATTCAACAAAATCCTCGAACTTTCCTTGTCTATCATGAGTACTTTGCAGCCAAGCAATAATGCATGCGACGCAGTCCCCATTCCTGAATGGTCATTTTCAGGGAAATCGACGAGTTAATGGGCATCAAAGTCCATATTCTGTGAATCTGCTCCCTTGATCGTTGTTGTTGAGCTGCAAAAGCGCCGTTGTATAAATGCCCATCCCTTGCTTACAGGTTCACTATTACTAGCAACGACACTTCGCCCTTCGCGACTGCTTTAGTCACATGCGGCCCTGTCATCTCCTCTGCATTGGCGTCGCTATGTTTTTTTTTGACTTTCCTCTTCCTGCAAAGGTAATCAAATGATGAACCTGTCCGGCAACATTTCTATTAACTTTAGCACTTTGAAGGATGACTGTTGTTTTTCCTCCCAAAGGAGAATCGCCCAATGTAATCTAATTCAATGTTCCGAATTAGCTCATGAGAGCAGACAGGCTGTTTCCATAAGGTCGTAGCGAAGCGGTGGAACCGAGATGTATGGGTCGATCTACTCAGCGAGTTGTCGAGCATGTCGTATCAGTTGAGCATTAGATAAGCCGAGTGATAATGCTATGCTCGACTGTTGTAGATTAAAGTTGAGAATTTTTGATTTTACAAAGAGAACTCAGTAATCCGACGTTTGGCTACCGATCAACTTTTTGTCTCAGAAAATTGAGAAAAGGAAATCGGGATTTCTTGAATCTAAAAGGCACAGTGAGAATATACAAGTCAAGTAGTAGTCGGCTTCTACTGTCTCGGAATGAGTTAACGCCACTGTGTGCTAAGGGCTTATAGGGTGAATCACCTCGTAACCGAACGGCCCACGGCAAACGCAGCGCGTCGTAGCGCTCTAATGAAAGGTGACTGAAATTTCCAGTGCGTGATTACGGTAATTGCTGCGTGCGTGCTCGCAACCGTGGGAATACGAACTCTGGTCCTAGGTTTAGTTAACAAGGTGACGCTTCTCACCATCTTACTGAAGCTGTACTCTACATTAGAGGAGTCCAGCTCGCTATCGAGTTGAGCTGAAAAATGAAAATGTCTCCTGAGAGTAAGCTCCGTTAACACCAATTCAGTATGTAGTGGTAAAGGAAGCCGGTGGTGTTTTTGGGGTGGCATTTACAACAAAATAAAAAAGAACGTTCTTGCATTGCTGTCGCTGCACAATTTCGGCTAATGAAATGTCTTATCACTGTTGTTCTGCTAGTAATTCTTCGACCTGCCCCAGAGAACATCCAGGAATTCATTTGTACGGGCTGATAGCCATTTGTCGAGGGGTCCTTGTCCCTGTCGTAACTGATATGTCGTAATCAACTAATGACAGCTTTAATATACATTAAAAGTACCGGGTGACAATTAGCCAAAAATAACTAAATGTTTGTGGCATGTGACATATATAAAGGGCACCATNGGGGGGGGGGGAGCGAATTTCATTGGATCCGCTATTCCGATATATATTGATCGAGATCGTCCACTGTCATAGTAACGCTGTAAAAGAGTTGACTCAGTGTAAACTTCTTCAGCGAAATTTAATAATTCGCAGCTGCGTGTGCTGCTTCCCTTACATTTCTCAGCATCAGACAGCTGTCACACGAATTTCGTTCTGATGTGCAGAGATCTTTGAGTTTACAGCTCAATTGAACAGATGCTCCTGGTCAGTCTAGTGTATTGTAAGGAGCTTGAAGCAAGAAGTCATGTAAGCAAAGTAGTTCCTACAAGGCCTAGGGATCTTACCATAATGCCCTCCTGTCTTGGAATTGAGGGGAGGTAATTGTGATATTTCCTCAAAACGAGGGACATCGGAAATAAGATTCTAAAAGTCTTCGGGCGTTAACCAATCCCGTAAGTGGAATGCGTCCACTTATTCGACATCTACTCAGAATCGTAGTAGCGTAATGAACATGCGTGGCCTGTACAATGACTTGTGTTGGCCTGCCAGTGTACAAGTCACTGCTTTGCTTTTATCCTCCCAGACGAGTGTTGGGCCAATGAAATGGCCCAGGGTAATGGAAGGCCTAAGAGACTTAGGCGGGTATCAATCTAGGATTCAATCCCCGGCTCGTGCGTGTCTGATAGTGCACCACTTGCCACCACACCATATCCGCCCATTACCACTCGAAAAAAGTTGATTTACTCTGGGGAGGTTTCCAAGAGAAATGAATAATACAAAGCCATAATAGGAAGGATTGCGTGGCTGTAGAGGATGATCCTTGTACATTATGTGCAGTGGCAAATAGCGCACTCTCACACGCATGATAACGGATTTTTATTCCTGATTGATATCCAGGTTTTCCATCCTTCTGGGTCGATCAATCGGTACCAAACTCGTCCAGGAGGATAAGTGCACATCGGCCGTCCACCGTAAGCCATTGCACTTTCAATGCACTAGTACTATCCTGTAGGAAGTTGAATGCGGGGACACAGACCTGAACGGGATTGATTAACGCAAAAATCTGAGTGGAGAATTTTCATATAAATACGGTCGACCTTCATAATTTGCCAATTCTTCGAGTGGGTTGGTCCGTCATCAAAGAACTTGAGATATCGTAGACAGGTCAGGTGAAGGTCATTCGCGCAATGTGTTCGCTGGGATCACTCAACAACAGCAAGTGGTTTTGCTTTCATGAAATGTTCCTCATGTTCTTCGTTTTCGTTACAGTAACTTGTCTCACAATCTGTTTCAAGACACCAAAGTCCTGTTTCCGGCAACAAGTACTGATTCCCTGTCACTTATTGTCCGTTCTTCCGACGTCACGAAACTTCTTGTTGCACGGTAAGAAAAAGGGTGAGAATAGGTGTGAAAAAGCAGTTTCCAGGTAAATGATTTGTAGATGATTGCGAAGGAGCCCACGAAAAATCTTAGCGCGAACCACCTGCGCAGTTACGTACTGGCAGCACTGTAAGAGTCAAAAGCGGGCATACTCATCGTTGTTCTGAAACGGCGGCATCTGGTCATCTTTATTTGCTGAAATCGCTCATTTAATTGAATTCG